GACGTGTTACAAGGGTGCGCATGTCTCCTAGGTTTGTTACTTGTGTTCTCCGCGAGGATGCTAATTGTTTAGGATGCGCCTACCTCCGTGTGCCATGCCCCACCACAGTTGAACAGCAACGTGTAACAACTTTGAAACCCCCCGCCCACCTCCTACGCATTTCACAAGTAGTGACTAATCCCATATCTGCATTTTCCATAAATATACAAAATTCCTCTTGATATGCAAATTCCTTTGTCAAGGCGCTCTTCCCCCTCCCAGCCAGCTTAAATATACGCTCCAAGCTTGGTGGTGTTTCATTCTTCACCTGAGGACGGCTGCTTGCGTTGTGGCCGAAACGTTCGTGAGAATTCTTTTATTATGTTTTATTTTTATTATTTTATTACTTTCCTTCTACGTGACTTTACCGAAAGAAGAGCAACGTGCAGTTTCACTGATATCGACGTTAAAACGGAGCGGTGGCGCAGTGGTTAGCGTGCCGCGCCACGAGTCCAAGAAACCCGAGTTCGATTCCCACTCGCGACCGATAACAGCTGTCCCGGCACTCGAAGGCGCTCGCTCACAGCACTTGCCCCAACAGTTTGTTTAAGGCTATACGGGGTGATCTTTGTCTTTTGATAACAGGGTGGAAAGACAAAGCCATTGCTATTCAATTTGAAGCCCAGCGCGAGTTGTCGATATATGAAATTAAATGAAAGTGAAATTGGCTCGCCATGCAATAAATAATTTTCCGCATCTCTCCCGCCACCAATGGATGAAGGCCTCCCACATCCCCACACCGCGCCGCTCCTCGGGTGTCATTTCGCCATACTTCACCACGCCGGTCAGTGCGGCCGTGGAGACGAGGGCTGACATTGGCGACCCCCAAGGACCGACCGGTTTGCGCGTCGCTCGCAAAAAACCGCGCTGGCCGTGGCCGACAATCGAAACTCTGGTCGCCCGTTTTTCAGAACTTGACAAACTCTCCACGGATTGATTCAAGAATCCAGTGCTGGGCTGCCAAAGTCCTGGCCAACTCGCAGCACTAAGGCCTACGGCGCGACAGTTATGATGGCTTTGCGACGCCTGGTGTTCCCATTGGGTCAATAACGCATTACCCACCACCACCACCACCACTGTCATTATGTCCATCGCCCTGTGGCCGACGCAGAGCTGTTGGGGTGAACGTGGTGCAACGTGCAGGGGCCGCTCTGCTCCCATGGCTCTGACAATTCCACTTAGTTTCTAGCCACCATGGGCAGCGATGCACATCGACAGCCTGCCTCCCTTGCAGAGAGTTGGTGCCGTTCTGTTCACGGGGCACAGGTTTTTGGGAAATTGATGGAATGAAGTAGCATGTTTTAAGTCGGGTCAAGACACGGACAGAGATTTTTTGCATAGTGCATTTATTTTAATAAACGTGCTTGGATTCGATTGAATGTTAATAAAAATAATTAAATTTGGCAGGAGATGACAGTAAATCGATGGATTCGTGTACCCATCTTTGCGGCGCTTGGAGAATTTCTCACTCGTAGGTTGCTTCGTAGATGATTCCTCCCCCTCCGCCCCCCCCCCCCCACGTTGCCCTCCAGGCTGTTGCAGTTAAACATAAGTGTGGCAGTCAAACATGACATTGTGGCAAGACCCTCCTCACGACGAGTCTTGAGACTCGGCGAGGCTTTCCTGGATATGTAAAAGGGACAATGATCACCGTTGCATTAGAGCGCCGCGGTGGCGAGATGTTAGCTACCTCGCCTGGTATGCAGGAGGTCGCGGGGTTCCATCCTGGCCCTGACGCCTGCTGGATATTTGGAGTTTGCATGTTCTTGCCGTGGTCGTGTGGATTTTTCTCCGGGTCCTCCGGTTTCTCCCTCCACATTTAGAATCAACACCACGCGTTTTAGAGTGTTTGGCTGCTTCACATTTCCACGTGCTAAACTAATTAATTGGGCTATCGTTTGTGGCCAGGTCGCTTCTGAAAAAGAGCTCCATTGCCCAGTGGGCCTTACCTGGTAATAAAAAAAAAAGGTTTTCATTAGCAAGTGGGGCCAACGCTTTGGAGTCGAACTTTGCACGTGATATCTGTGTGCGTGTGGCGTGGTGCTTGTAGAAGAGGCCAGCCCTGCTACGTCACTGCCCAAGCAGCTCCCTGTCCGTTCGACCTATACAGCTTAGCGGGCCTTACCTGGTAAAATAATAAAAAAAATTATAATAGTTTAGTGGAGTGACAAGGATGGGATGTGGGACATTCGAATGTTCGTTCACACGGAGCGAGCGAGCGGCGCGCACTCTGCGATGTCGCATCGCTACGGGAGCCGCAATCTGCTCGCTGGACTCCCCTCCCTGCTTCCCACTTCCCCCCGTGGTGCGCTATTTCCCCCGACTTCCCCCCCATCTAAAAACTATTTTTGTTTCTGTACTTTACCAGACAAGGGGAGAACATGCAAAAATTCCCCAATATACAGCAGGGGTCAGGGGTCGGGACCGAACCCACGTCCACCTGCATACCGGGCGAGGTAGTGAACATCTCCTAGCCACCCTGGCGCCCACTATCCCCGTGGGGACCTCTGCTCCAGCTGCCCCCGACGTCGTCCGGGCTTTGCTTGGCACCCGGATCTTCCTCCTCTTGTTGAATCCGCCATCGTTCAAGTCTCCGACTTTGCTCTTCTCACGGTGCCGCGTGTTGGCTGAATTCTCTCCTCGTTTTAAGTTTAGCTCAAACGTCTTCTAATTTCCGCGTTAATTTCCCTCTGCGCTCCCACGTTCTGAAACCTCTCGCTCCCTCGAACGTTAAATTATCTCGTTGAAGAAAATAAAATCTCTTTCCAACGATTATTAAAGGTGCGCTTCTCCCCCCGCCCCCCCGCCCCGTGCTCCGTTAGACTGCACGTGAAATCTACCAATCTACCTTGTGTACGTTGTATGAAAGCGCCCTTGACTAATGCACCCACAGTGCTACTGCTGCTGTCAGGCCTTGATTAACGTGTACCTCTGTGTGTGTGCTTTGGGGCAGTGATGTGCAGTGAGTGGTTCCGTGTAGCGTGCTACAATCCCAACTATAACGTAAGTTTGATTCCCAGCCACGGCTAACAACCAGTGGAGAGAATCTTACAGAGACTCAACCGTAAACACGAGACAAAGGCGGATAAGCGATAGTGCTGACCAAACACCGCCACGATCAGCTTAACATGTAGAAGGCTTTCACGAGCAATATTATCCATTTAAGAGGTTTTTTTTGGGGGGGGGGGGGGTTAGATCGCATAAATGTCTACATGCGACGTTAAACCACCCAAACACCCGACACAGCCAGTTAGTTACTAGTTCAGCACAGTTGTGTATCGGGAGAGTAAACCCATAACATTTACAATTTTAGTCCGACGTTTCGCTCGTAATTATAACCAGCCTCATCAGGCGACAGCCATAATTGTGATGCGTGCCGACCCATGTGGCAAGGTTGTTTTTTGTGCCGTTTTTGCCATTTTGGTCAGCCAGCGCTCTCTTGCAAACGAGAGAACGAAACCGTGTCCTGCTTCTCTCGTTCAGTTTTTCTCGCCCGGACGAACGAAAGTGAAGCCGCTCGCCTCGACGGCCGTTGGCAGATGGCGCGGGTGGCAGACGCCGCCGATTAGAATCGGTGCATCGAATCGCGCGTGACAAACGGTCTACGGGGTCACGCGGTGCTGCGCGTCTTTACGTTTCGATTCACAGAGTGAACAAAAACGTAACAAAATGATGCCCACAGTAATACTAAAAAAACTAAACTTTTTTTCCCCCCCAGCTAGGGCCCCACTGAGCTATCTAGCTCTTTTTCAGAAACAACGTTGCCACAAATGATAGCTCAATGGAAGTGGCTTATGTGGAAATCTATAGCAGCCAAACTCTGTAAAAATGCATGTTGATTCTAAATGTGGAGGGGGAAAAACCGGGGAGAGACGCACGCAAACTCCAAATATACAGCAGGCGTCAGGGTCGCGATCAAACCCACGACCTCCTGCATGCTAGGCGAGGCCGTTAACATCTTGCCACCGCGGCGTAACCGGTAAACAACTCGCGGCAGACTGAAATATCTATTTTTTAAAGGGAAGCAATTCTTCAAATCCAGCTCGCGAACCCCGAAACGCGACGATTCGTGTCGTCGCTTGGCTGGAGGGCGACACAAGGGAAGCAAGCGGTGATGCACTGGCGCATGCACTCCACCACCCGAGCGCGATGACCCCCCCCCCCCACACACAAACAGACACGGCGAGCTCACGTTGGATTCCCGGCCGCGGCCGATACGGCACAGGCGACGTCAGAGCCCGCGAGCCGAGCACGAGACCGCCGCGGTGACTCTCGGTGGCGGGCGGGGGGAGGGGGGGTAATTCAGATCACGCTTTTATAGCACGTGAACCATCTTACAGTTATTTGTCGATATTGTGGTTTGGACGTCGGCCCACGTAGCCACAGAGACGTGGCAGCCTCCTCCTCCACGTGCAGGGCAAACAGTCCACCCGGCACACCCCCCGGCATGGTGAAGTATGGTCAAACGGCGCCCACGGCCGACGCGGCATGCGGGTGGGGGGGCTTTCATCTGGCAGCAGATTGACAAGTGACCGAAGGTGGCAGAGGTGCAGCCCCGCGATTGCGTGCTCGCACCGCTGCTGGCGGAGGGGAAGCCGTCTGCAGGGGGAGCTCGTAGGATCCTCTCGGTGGCGGGTGCGGAGGTGGGGGGGATGTTTGGCCTGGCCGTCGGCGCTAAGCAGAGTTGCCCAGTGAGCAAAGCAAGCACGCTACATGCCGCACGAGTGTCTGCGTGCGGAGTGTCGCGGTTAACGGACCGAGTTTGATTCCCGCTCGCGGCCAATCGCAATGACGGGTTATTTGAACGGTGGTGTTGGCCACCCACCCCCCTCGTGTGAGGCATGCCGACCTTCATAGGTGCTCGCTAACAACAACACTCGCCCCAACGGTCTGTCGAGGCTATACGGGGGGGATTTTTGTCTCTGTGCGTCACACGGGTGTCGTCCGTCTGTGCGACGCAGGATGGCGACCACGCCAAGGTGAACGGCGACGCGTCCCCGGGGGCCGGCGACGCCAAGGCCGACGTGCAGGCCAACGGCAGCGCCACGGTCGCGGCCGCTGACAAGGAGGAGGTGGAGGAGAAGGAGGAGGGCGGCGCCGGAGGGGCGGCCGCCGCCCCCGCGGCCACCGACGACGCGAAAGCGCCGGACTCCAACGGCGACGCCGTTGAAGCCGCCGCGGCCGCCCCGGCGCAGGCCGAGGCCGCCGCGGGGGCCGCGGCGGCCGCGTCCCCGGCCTCGGTTGTCGCCTCCCCCAAGTCGGACGACGCGGCCACCCCGGGCGCGTCCGGCGAGACGCCCAACAAGAAGAAGAAGAAACGCTTCTCCTTCAAGAAGTCCTTCAAGCTGAGCGGCATCTCCTTCAAGAAGAAGCCCAAGGAGGAGAGCGCCGAGGGGGCCGACGCCAAGGCGGCCGCCGTCAAGGAGGGAGCGGCTGAGGGGGCAGAGGGGGCCAAGGAGGAGGCCGCCGCCGCTGCACCAGCCGAGGGCAAGAAGAGCGGCGAGGAGAAGGAGGAGGGGGAGGGGGCGGCCGCCGCGGCGGCGGCTGAGAAGACGCCGGCCAAGGAGGCCGAGCCGAAGCCGGCGGAGGCCAAGGAGGAGGCCGGAGGCGCTCAGGAGGCGGCGGCCGCCGCCGCCCCCGACGCGGCGGAGAGCGGCAAGGGACAAGAGGCGGCGGGAGCGGCGGCCAAGCCTGGCGACGACGCCAAGGAGGAGCCGGCGGCTGCGGAGGCCGGCGCGGCGGGAGCGGCGGCTGGTGCCAGCGAGAGCAAGGAGGCCGCCACTGCCGCCGCCACTCCGGCCAAGACGACGGGAGAAGCCGCCGCGGCGCCGGCGGCGGCGGCGGCGAGCAAAGCGGAGGAGGAGAAGAGCGAGGAGGCGGAGGCCGCCCCTAGCGCGGCCCAAGGGGCGGAAGCTGCGGCCCCCGAGGCCGAGTAGAGGGCGGCGGCGGCGGCCTCGCTGACGGCCTCGCTGACGGCAGCGGTGACGGCAGCCACGACGACGAGGAGGAGGAGGGGGGGGGAGTGGTGAGAGGGGAGGGGGCGCTGAGGCTCTTCCCCACCACCTCTCCCTCTCGGCACGGTGCCATGGCCGGCGTTCTGGGGTTCGAGAGACTTTCCAGGGATGTGCGGTCGTTTCTTTTCCCCGGTTTTTTTCCTCTTCTCGTGTCCTCCTCCTCCTCCGCCCCCCCCCCTCCCAAAAAAAGTGATTTAAAAAAAAAGGTAGCCAGGCCCCCCTGTTACCCCCCCCCCTCCACTGCCTCCCCCCACCTCGTCCCACCACCGCAGTCCGCAATGGGTATACCTTGATCATCGCGTTGTCAGTATTACCGATTTTTGCATACGATTTGCATACTTTTATATACAGAATGTTGCGTGTACGTATGGGGGGGGGGTGGGGATTAGGCGGAAAGGGGGGGGGTTCATTTTCTTGCGTGCGTGTTAGAGGAAAAACAAGAAAATGTAACGAAAAAACCCACCTCACACACACACACGCTATGCCCCCCCCCCCCCAACAGCTGTCCGGTATTCTCCTGTCTCTCTCTCTCTGTGTGTGTGTGCGTCGCGGGCCTCGGTGGCCCCCCATGTCCCTCTGGTCCCGTGTTTGTGGTGGGTGAGTGGGGGGGATGGGCATCGTGTCGAGACTGTTTACGGTAGGAGGGGGGGGTAGAGAACACGTCACGTGGTGTGTGGGGGGGGGAGCTGTGGGGGGGTCGCTTTGAAAAAGAAGCGGGGGGGGGGGGCGGGGGACTTTTTTAGAGCGAGCGGGGGGGGGAGTGCGGAGCGAGAGAGGAGACGTGAGAGAACAGGCGGGGGGGGGGGTGTTGGTGGGGGGGGGGGTGCTGGAAGATGACCGCCTGGCGTAACATGTTGAACCCCCTTTTGATAAGACTCGTGTTGTGTGCGCGACGTAGCATTTACGAGACCTTCAACCCCCCCCCCCCCACACAAACACACCGTTGTATCATACTCGAGGTGGCTGTGTGATCGCGTTTCGTTCCGAGGTGTGTGGGTTGGTATGGACGGAGGAGATCTGGTGGGAGCTCTGATGAGGAGGGGGGAGGAGGAATGACGAGGAGGAGGATGATGGGGGGTGGGGGGGGGTTCGTGGGTCATGGCGTTTGCACATCGGTTTGCTCCCGCGGCAGGTTTTTAGGGGTTACGGGCATCGTGAGACTTAAACCGAGACACGCAGAGACGTCGTTTTAGGCTTTACCGCGTTATTATAATGTGAATCATTGCCCATTTGAGAAGAAGAAGAAGACGACTTTGGGGCGGGGGGGGGGGGGGTGTGACGAAGTTGGGGGGGGGGGCGGTCGTGGTATTTTCTGTGCGGGGTGGGTTAGGGGGGGTGGTTTTAGGGGGGGTTTGGGGGGGGGGCTAGGGGGTTTTGGGGGGGGGGTTAGGAGCGGGCGGAGGGGGGGGCAGCTAAGGCGATGCGGTGACGCGGCCGATGTGTCCACGGAGCGCGCTGTGACCGCGAGCTGGTTGTGATTCCCCTCGCCGCGACGCTTTTAAACAAATAAAGGATTTAAAAAAAGGAAGCACATCGCAGGCTCTTGCCGAGGCTAGCACCTTTTTTTTTGGGGGGGGGGGGGGCGCGGGGGGGGGTTGGGCTGGTGGGAGGGGGAGGGGCGGTCTATGTAGAATTTGTGTATTTCATGTTAACTAAGCCTAAAAAAAAACTACGTAGTACAAGTAAGTAGGTTACGTTTCATCTCTCGCAACAAACAAAAAAAACTCACGGTTATAATTAGGGAGTTCTTATTGCACCCGTGTTGTCGCAAAGTAAACTTTCACTGGTCGGTCTCCGTTGGATAGTCGTCCATATTCGCCAGTGGCACACCCCCCCCCACCCCACTCTGCCACTGGACATCGTTGGTGTTTTGTACATATTGAAACTGCTTCACCATGGCCTCGAATAGATCGGAATGTAACTTTGTTCATTTAAAGTTGCTTGTGAAAGTTGCTGCGACTCATGCTTTAGGATTTCTGTTTTTTTTTGTTTTTTTGGAAATCAATAAATATTAACTATAGAAGCGATGGGCGTCCCGCAGTTGTGTGCGTGCAATTGGTGCGTTAAAAACAATGGTGGGGGGGGCGGTAGCGATGTTTCTCAAAGCTGCCACTGCTCGCAACCTGCCACGCACGAGTTCATTGCCGTACACGCAAACCCCTTTTTCCACTGGCGCATCCGAGCTGAACCAGCGCAGCCCCCCCAATCCCCCCCCCCCGTACGGTACCGGTTGTGGGTTGCCAATGGGCGATCTTGCCACGTGGTGCTTAAAGCACCACACTGCTGCACCAGCGGTGGCGAGATGTTAACTACCTCGCCGGGTATACAGGAGGACGTGGGTTCGATCCTGACCCCCGACGCCTGCTGTATATTTGGAGTTTGCGTGTCTCCCTGTGGTCGCGTGAGTTTTTCTCCGGGCTCAGTTTTTTCCCCCCCGCCATCAAGAATCAACGTGCACTGAGAGTATTTGGCTGCTATAAATGTCCACGTGATTATAAGCCGCCACTTCATTGGGCTATTATTTATGGCCGGCTCGCTTCCAAAACAAAGGGCTAAAGAGTTTAGTGGGCCTTAGCTGGTAAATTCAAACATTTCTAGTTTCGTTTCAAATTAGCTGCCTCGGGGCCAAGCAGGGCCAGGTAGGTGGGACTTATGATAACTCGATGTCAACACCGAGGACGCGACATCTATCTGCGTGCGCATCGACGACTCGTCAATCGTGCCGGGCTGGCTCTGCTGGGCGCGGTCCTGGCGTGGCTCGGCTGCGCAGTGGAAAAGAAGGGGGGGGGAGTTCAACACCTCCTATGAATGAAGTCGCACCCACGACGCACTGACACACGAACGCACGTGCGGTGATGGCCGCTCCCTCCACAGTCGGCGGTAGCCGACCTGTCCGCTCCGCACTGCAATAACGTCCAATCGATTCCAAGTCACTTCTCGTTCGCGACAATCCATAGGCCCAGACCAGACACTGCCCCTGTCGTCTCCCCATCCCTCGTCCTCCTACCCCGTCCGCACATACGATTAGCACGGTTTGGATACGGACTGTGCGAAAGGCCGAGGGCGAGGCCAAAACCCGGTTCAGATAATCGCCACTGATGTTGGCCGTGGTTGGGAATCGAACCCGGGTGGCCGGGTTCGTAACGCACAAGTGTCGTGCGCCGATCACGATGCCACTGCTCGCTGGGAGACAGACAAAGATCCCCCGGATAGCCTGTAGTGGACTGTTGGGGCAAGTGTTTTTAGCGAGCACTCCTGAAGGTCGGCACAGCTCACGAGGGGGTGGGTGGCCAGCACTACGCCTGGCCGCCTTTGTCTCCCCAGTAGTGATGTTTACAACATCGCACCAGGTACACATTTGAGGCTGAGTCGACCCTAGGGGAGGCCCATGACCGGTTCAGAGAAGCGTCACTGGTGTTGGCCGTGAGCGGGAATCGAATTCCGGTCGCCAGGTTAGTAGCGCAGCGTGCGAACCGCTACGCTGCCCACAAAATTAGAAGTTCACCACACACACATCTGAGTGGTATAACCATAGGGGGTTCCACTTTCCTTACGTGTCCAATAACGTCCAATTACGTAATAACCATTTGCGGTAAGTGGGGTTATCAAGCAATTAACTATTGTAAAACCACGTGAAAAATATCGTTACCGCTCGGGTTTTGGCTACCTATTACTACGTGAACTATTTACCAGATAAAGCTTAATACTGAGCTATGAGCAAGTGATAGCTCAACGAAGTGGCTTACGCAGAAATGCAGAGCAGCCGGAATAATCTCAACGCATGTTTCGAAATGTGGAGGCGAAAAACCGGAAGACCCGGAGAAGAATCCACGCGACCACGGGGAGCGAGAGAGAGAGAGGGGAGAGAGAGAGAGACATCGCAAACTCCAAATCGACAACGGGCATCGTCAGGGCCGGGATCGAACTCCACGAGCCGCTGCAAACCCGGCGGAGGGAGACAACAACTCGCCACCTCAAGTGGCACCCATCAGCTCCGGCCCACAGAGCTCCACACACGCCCTGTGGAGCTCCACTCGCTCTGTGGAGCTCCACTCGCTCCGTGGAGCTCCACACGCCCCGTGGAGCTCCACTCGCTCCGTGGAGCTCCACACGCCCCGTGGAGCTCCACTCGCTCCGTGGAGCTCCACTCGCTCCGTGTGGAGCTCCACTCGCCCCGTGTGGAGCTCCACTCGCCCCGTGTGGAGCTCCACTCGCCCCGTGTGGAGCTCCACTCGCCCCGTGTGGAGCTCCACTCGCCCCGTGTGGAGCTCCACTCGCCCCGTGTGGAGCTCCACTCGCCCCGTGTGGAGCTCCACTCGCCCCGTGTGGAGCTCCACTCGCCCCGTGTGGAGCTCCACTCGCCCCGTGTGGAGCTCCACTCGCCCCGACGCAGCCCTCCAAGTTTGTCGCTGCTCCGCCAAGGCCGAGTGGATTCGCTGTCATCTCTCCACAACCAACCCCTCCGCCACGCCTCCCCCCGTCACGGCGCAGTCCTGCAATTGCTCGCTCGCGTCACTGTTGGTGGCAGGGCCTTCGAGTTGCTCGTGACGAGCGCCCGACGTCAGGGTATGTAGCCTGCTCTTCCGTCGTCCGTCTGGACGTCTCCGAGAGGGTAGGTGGGAGTCAACGTGCCTCATCTCTCAGCCGGACCTTGCATTCTCTTGCCTCTTCAGCGTGTCTCCACCTTCCACCGCCATCCCAACCTCAAACAGCCACCTACCGTCCACCTTGAGGCAAATCCGAATTACGTGTCTCGTCTGCCGCGGCACGATCTCACCTCGACCTATTTAGACGTCTCCCTTGTCATCGCTCACGCATGATGGGTGAATTCCGCACGATTGATGATGACGATCGATATCATTCCATCTCGACCACCTACCAGTCACCATTTGAATCGATGGATCTCTCCAAATCGCATCACCCCCCCCCCCCCCCCCACCAAACTCTCGTTCGTGGCCACTGCACACTTGGAGTGGAAGATGACAGCAGCCATCACGCCCCCCCCCCCCCCAACTCTGTCATGTGAGAAATCACGGACGAACACCATCAACGCGGCGACCGAACATCGATCATCGATCTCCCGGTCTCCAGCGCAACGTCGCATTGCGCACCCAACCTCGCCATCTGCAAACACCCCATCGCTGTTTAGTTTTTAATCAACCACCACCACCACCACCTCCTGAACAGCCTACTCTACTCTTGTCTCCTTAGGCCCAATGTATCCCAGGCCCCCCGCGTCTCCTCGCCCCACCAGACCCGGTTGCGCCGCTTCTCGCGCCCTCTCCGTCGCTGCTTAGCGCACCTCCTCCACCCCCCTCCCTCCCCCCTCCCCTTGGGAGTCCCAATGCCTCCTGCTGTGAATGAGGTGGCACCCCTCTTCGGGACCCGGGCCGCCTTCTGCCAGCTTCCGCGGCGCTCTGGCGCGCAGTAAAGCGTCGAGAGTCAGTTGCCGGTTACAAGAAGACATGCGTAAGCTGCCAGGGCAACATGCGACTGTGTGTTCAAGTCGAAGCTGCAAGCCGAAGCTGCAAGCGAGAGCATGAACCCTGCGTGGTCACTCTTCAATCCTCACCCGGCGAAACAGCAATCGACGTGGAACTTGATGTATGCCCACATTCTTTCGTGTCGCTGTGTCTCCCGTGATGTGTCGTCGTCGTCGTGTCTCCTACGATTCGGAGGTTCCTTTCACCAAATTGGGCTC